TCGGCCGGCAGAAGTTAAGAAATGATAATAAACAGTAAGTAATTTATGTGTACTGATGCTTTCAATAATTTCTAAATAACAATAGGGTTTTAAAACTGGCCTGCAGCTGCCGGCGGGCAGGTTGAGTCCTTCTATCGTCTCATTCAAAAACAGCACAAATACATGATAACAATCTCTCCTGTCAAGTGGCAGTTCCTTTGTTTGGAACGGTGGTCTGAAAACTCGCTTTGACGAATCATGGGGCGAGTTTCAATTGGGCACACTTTCTTGCGTTCGGAAAATTTAAATTGTGCCCAAGGTGAGTTTAGCGATCGTTCGTACAGAACGGAGACAAAAAATTCAGATTCAGAGAAAAAACGTTTCGTTCGTAATTATTGCGGCGTTCGTATAGATTGGAGAATTACCGTAACATTCTCAGGGCATGCAGCTACTGTTTGCCAAGCTGTCCAGTTTTGTTGCCTTCTGTGATACTGGGGTGGTGAGCAAAGTGACACTGAGACATCAGGGGGTGGACTTCTCAGATGTGGATCATGCCATCAAAGCTCTCAGCTGGAATGGGAGCGGGAGTGGTCTTATGCAAGGTATTAATAACTATTATCTAAAGTAAATCATTGATTGGGCAGAAAACTTTGTATGCTATAATGATATACTTTAGAAAATGTAAATGGTTTTACTTTAGATAATATAAATGTAGAGAATTTGATGAACCAGTATTAAGTTTATATCTGCATAAGTTTTCAGATAAATAAAAAATTTGCCAAGTTTAAGGTAAATTAGTTTATTTTGGATAAAGACATTTTAGAGGATTTTTGTTCTCTTTCCAATTTCACATTGATTTTAAATTGGTATTAATGGTTTTGGGCCAATAAACAGTATGACAGTATGTAAAAATTGAATTTGATAATACATTATATAATATGCCATCTACAAGTAATCTCACACATTCCTTCACCTCTTTTCATGGCATTTTCATTTATAATTATCAATTTGAAATCTTCACTGGTATTATCATGGCAGTTATGCTTTTGTGTTAAAAAAAAGTATGTAAGATTTTTTTAAAAGACACTTTTCCTGTCTTACACTAGAACTAGCCTAAGGATGCCTTTTAGGAGTACTACGTACATTGATTTCCTGCCATAGGAAGCCTGTTTCATCTTTCTGTGGCTTTGCCCACCATCAGTGTACTAATAATTAAGGTATCTGAGTGTTAGGTATATTGGCTTCCTGTGGTTAGAAATTGAATCACAAGGTCTGCTAAAAAAAAGGCCAATATTACATGTATAACTAAGTTCAGTAATAGTACTACTAAGTTGCCATAATTTGACTGGAAATGTCATTTCTCTCTTGTTTCTTAAGGGCCGTCCATTTTTATCATCATTTTCTCTTATGGTACTTCAATGAAAACACTTTTTCCAGACCTCTTCCCCCCCCCCCTTTTCGGAGAATACAAGCTAAAAAATTATGACCTTTGACAGCAATTTGGATCATATTTTTATTAATTTTCAAAAGTGTCCAGAGGGCATTAACACCCCCTCCCAAGGGTACGGTTTAAAGCCTTGTGAAGAAAGATGATAAAAAATGCATGACCCCATACTGTCATATGTCATTAAATGACTATCAGCTTAAGTATGGTTATCTTGTTGTAGAAAAGACAATTAATGCACAGCATACCAACTACACTGGAAAGAAAACCCCTTCGGCCCATGGCAAGAAAGCAAATTTTAAATTGAAGGACATTGTCAAGGTAAATGATTAAGAAGTATATGTATATAATGTCAGGCCCGTAGCCAGCAATTTCAAAAGGGGGGTTCTTTTTCTGAAAAAGTGGACCTTTTTCTATAAAAACTTCATGCACCTAGATCAATTTTTACCCAGAGTGGACCTTTTCTCAGCAAAAAGGGCGGTTCTTTCGAACCCCCCGAACCCCCCCCTGTCTACGGGCCTGAATGTACATGTACAGGTTATGTGCTTTAGCATGGTGTTGTTATGAGAAATGTTAAATTGACAGTGGTATGGGAAGCCAAAGACGTAAATGAAGGTATTTTTTGTATGTTTGTGTGTGTGTGCATGGAAAAGTGTTATTGCACCATACAATGCACGTTTGAATGTGTTAATTTAAATTAAAGAAGACTTCCTTCATAGCTAGTACTTATTAACACTGTAGCAAAGCACTGTTCCCAAGAACTGTTTTCTGTATAGTTTATTGAAAGGGATCGAAAGCCACAGTACAGAAATTATTATTCATTCAATATGAATTATTATATTCATTCAATATGGAACTACCATCCCAGACTTGGAGAAACAGGGATATATGCGACCAAAACCCTTTTAGATACTGTAAATTGTATAATTACTTTTACTTATTTTACAGGACATGCAAAATTGTCATCTCAGCAAGGGCTCTAAATCCAGGTCTCCCAGAAACTCGCTGGACAGCAGTTACTTTGCAAGGTTCAGTTTCTCATCTGAAGACATTCCTGCTGAGGTTGGCTTTAAAAAATCTGACAAAGAAAGCAGCAAACCAAGACGCAAAGAGAGGTCACTGGCTTTAAACACAGTGCCGCCTACGCTGACAAGCTTTTGGTCAAATCAGTCAAAGTCAACTAGTGTGCCTGATGGGACAAGTCTTTTTTTCAGGGGTAATGGTTCTGCTGGAGCATCAGCATCTAATAGCATAATGACAAGACCCAACCAGGAGAGTTTAGCTCAAGAGGCCAAGTTGATTTCTTCTCGATTATTTGACCAACCACTGGATGCAGTAAGAGGAGGGGAAAAACAAGGAGTGGGTGCTACGGACCCAGCGGGGAATCGTAGCGCAGGTTTTGCAGGAGCAGCACCCTGTACTTTTTCCCCTCACTCTTGCTCAGAACTAGAAAGAATGAGCTCTGGTGGTTCTCTTGTAGCTCAGAGAGGATCAGTTTCCTCCGTTACTCTCTCCAATACAGACTCGGATAGTGAGAGGCCTTATGCAAGTGTCACTCCCATCACTGAAGGTTGGAGTCCCCTGAATCCAACAGTTGGCTTCAATGCTGTGCCAAGTGTTGAGGAAGAACAACTGCTGCAGTCAGCTGCAGGGGTATTCACTCTTGAGAATCCAAATAATCAAAACACACGATCACACAGTGCATTGGTTGAAAATCACGGTCACAGTGGTGACCAAAACATAACTTCAGGTCACAATGTTACAGTTGATCAATGCACTTCTACTGGAGCAGCTTTGCCTGATCCAGATCGAAGTACACTTAATCCAGATCAAGCAAGGGGGGATTCAATTCAAGGTGTCTCTAACCCAGATGGAGCTTTCAGTGATCTTGGACAAGCTGCCTCTATTTCAGATCAAGCCTCACCTAATCCAGATAGTGCAGCAGCGGGCAATACAAGTGTGTTTGGCACGGGAGAGTTTCGCTTTGCTCTCAGTCCTGCAGTGACATTTAAATCAAGTGGAAGGGTCCTTAGGAAAGCTGCCAGAAGACAAAGACACAAATGACTGGTCAAGACAGAGAATCTACTTGAAATGGGCTCTTAACTGGAATACTTAATCGCATGTGCATTGTTTGTTGTTGTAGTATACAACAATGCATGTATATCCCACGGACTGACTATAAGTAAAGAGCATTGCATTACTATATAATATGCTTCTTTTTTAAATTTTCCCCTTTAAAAAATGAATTCTACTGAAGTGAAATTGGCCTATTTATGAGGTGACCTATGCGTATGTAAAACAATGACATGGGTTACCCATTTTATACATTATCTCCTAATACATGTATTTTAGGAGAATAAATGCAAGCTCCTTATATTTTAAGGAGAATAAATGAAATAAAATTCAGCAAAAATAAACATTGATAATTTTTCTTTCCTGCTCCTTTTTTAATGCTGTGTGAATGGGTTTTAAAGGTAGAGATAACAATGCAACATATGATGCAACATTTCATTAAATAAGTGAGTGATATTGATATTGTGGTGTAGAGAAGCAGTTTTCATTACACATAATACTTGTACCTTCCAGTATTTCTTGCTTTGAAGCATATTTTGTAAGTGAATGTGTTTATTTATATTCACATACAAGAAGATTTAAGGGTGGAATTCTATTCAACCTGAAAATAATATTGTGTTTCCTAATTAGTTTTTTAGACCATTATATTACAGAATTAACTCATCAGCACCTTTTCCTGTTCTTTTATTCTAGAGCTTTATGTATATATGAAAAGCACTACCAATATTTATAAACAACTAGCCAAAGTGCAATAAAAACTATGATTTTGTTAATATTTGTTTTTTATCAACTTACACGAAAAAGGAACATGAAAAATATATGTTCAAGATATTACAATCGCAACAAAAAATATATACACGACTATATTTGATTACTCCCGAATGTGCACTCCGTTTATAGGTATTCAGGGCAACATCGGACATTAAAAACTTACCTTATGAATACGTCTTTATTACGCACGGACGAACACCGAGGTTCACGTACTTAAACAGACAAGTACGCCAGTACAACAGGTGCATGACCGACAATTCTGACGTTCTGAGGCAATGGGAAACTGGTCTCTATCACCATTTCCATCGAGACCATCACATGTAAATAGCTATAGCTTGTCCCCGGTGTGGGGAAAGTCGCAGTTACATGCAGGGCCCTTCATCTCAGGCTAATCAAGACCTTCAGGCTCGTTTCCAATGAAAATATCGGTCCAAGGAGATCGATCCAACTCTGCCGGGACGCTTGCTGGGTGCAATCAGATAAAAAGATTTATACGCCTCCTCTTTTCTTCCAACATCTTCGTAAAAGCATCAGCTTTTCTGTATTCTTTTCAGCGAGTTAATCTCTTAATTTGATTACATTCATCACGAGCTATATCACTCTACGTAGACCAATAGTTTAATTGGGAATGACCTCTTAGATCCTATCTAATTTATTGGGCTGATAATGCACGTATGATGGGTAGTGGATAATTGATCTACGTGGACAGATTATTTCATTGGGAATGAGCCCTTAGATCCTCTCTAATCCATAGGGCAGATGGAGTGCGTCTGATGGGTAGTGACAAATCACCGGGATATATACAGTACTCTGAAACACGGGGTGATTACACATTACGTGCACATAGGCAGACCTGTAAAATGGTGATATCATTACTTAATGATGCCGATTCAATTTAACTGAAACCAAAGGTGTGCACAGGAAAACCCCGTCTCACTAGGTGTAAATAAAGTCAGACTTGTTTTTGGACATATATATCCGCGCCGGCGGAAATCTAGCTAGATCCATAAAGTCGTGGTCTTATCAGTTTTAACAAACACGTTTTTGAATCAATTAAGCCCTTTACATGTATTCTCTCCCATCCCTACTGTGTTGACTCCCTATATCTTAAACTCGATTATGCTTGAACTGGCGAGAACAGGACCTCAGGTCGGCTGTCAGGTAGGGCAGAGGCTATAGCTGCCGGTGTTGTTGTCAAACGGGTTGTGTGGAAATTGATGAATGAAGTCAAGTGCCTACATATTTCCACTTCACGACGCACCCATGTAAAAAATAGTGTCACAGACATTTATTATGGCGGAGGTGTGATATTACAGTTTGAGTACAGACACCAAGCCCAAACAAATGCCTTGGGCAGAGGGGCGGGGGGGAGGGGGGGTCAGCATCTTAATACGTACGTCTGTAGCCGTACTAGTGTCCTTTCTATCAGCAATAGCTAGAAACGGGAAAACTTTTGGAAGGGTACGTGATAGGCTCATCACTAAGTCACGTTCACATCCCACTGTTAAAACCGGCGTTGATTTTTAAACAGAATAAAAAATACGCCCACGTTCTTTCTAAAACCTGACTCTGTTATGCTAATATTTTACGGCTTGACTTCGTTTAAAAGTTACCCGTACGCATTTAAGGCTTAAATAGGCCAATGCCGCGACCCTGACCTGTATTAATGGAATTCTGACTGTATTCAGGTAAGCTTTTTAAAATCCAAAACAATGAATGTCCCATTTTATATCTATCCAAGATGATTTTTAAATCATTAAAATGTTATGTGGTTTCTTTTTGTCTGTCCTTAAGTCATGGGATCAAAAGTGACTGTGCTACATGTAGCTATCTCTTACTACGGGGATCCAGACGGCTCACGAGACTTGTCATCTTATAAAATACATCCAAATATTCGAGAACGAGTATCTAATTTCTGGTCTTTCTCTTTGTCAGATTGGATAACATCCCATCTTTAGTGTGGGAAACAAAAACATATTCCAATGTCTCTCTCTCAAGCTGTCAGGGGCCAGGACTGCGGAGGGGGGGGGGTATTTATTTATTTATTTATTTATTTATTTATTTCGAGCATCTTTTTAAAGTGTCAGCTTTTATCGTTCTCCTGTCCATCGGCAGTGTCTTACCAAATCTTCTCCATTACAGTAATTAAAAGAACGTCAGTAAGCGTCTGGATGAGTACAGTATACTATAGGCGGTCCAAGTCAGACAAGTAACCTGCTAACCCACACTGTATTGTTTCTCAGCCTACGACACAACTCTACAGACTCTCTCCTCTCTCTCTCCTGACCCCCCCCCCCCCCCCCCCCCTCTCTCTCACGTCACGCGCACTTGGTTCCACGTCACTTTGAACTCCTCCTGCAAACAACAACCCCATTCGGTGCTACGTACGGACCATGCGTCTTATAAAAATCAGACCTGATGTGATTCATTCCCTTGCAACTATGCCATAACGTTAGATGTTTGCCTATAAGCCTGACGGATGTGTGTATATGGGCACAGTAAGCGTGTGATTGACATTAGCAGCAAGATCTGCACAGCGCCTGAAGCTCTTGAAGGCAAGTTCATATGCTGAGGAGAGCCTGCCGTAGACAGCACCAGGATTTATCATATGAGTAAATAGGTTGGACCCTATAACAGAGCTGAAAATATTAATGAAGTTTACTGATTCGTTCACCTATGCGTTTCACCTTGCTGAACTGACTCATCCACGTGAGCTTTTGGGTTGGTGAAAGGGGATTCTTGGAAGGAGCTAGGATTCATTTTAACGCTCAGCTGTTAAGAAGGCACAAAGTGACTGCCGTATTGCTTCTCTGATTCTGAATTGTGAGCCTCCTCACACCTATACGGAATATCTACTGTGTCAGGTAGGTAGAACCGGTAGAATGGAGTATAGATCGAATAACTAACTAACCGCCCGGAATACCGGTGGCTTGGCTGTCGCTTTAAGTTATGCATTCAGAGATGATCGTTTTCCTTTACATGAAGGGCAAGCTTAATCGTCTACGGTTGACGAGTTTTATTTCCCCCTACATTACCAGCAGTAGACGAACAGCTAGCAGCAGCAGACGGTATTCAGACTAATTTTCCATCGCATCTCACTCCAGGTGAAGTCGGTTTATTTGTAATTGTACTAGCTCGTACATCAGCATTTGGTACCTGTGCCCCCCCCCCCCCCCTTCACTACCGCTGTGTATTGAGTTAGGATTCGAAAGGATGTGCGGTTATTTTTTGTTCAGATAACATGTCTTCAAAGGAGCAGTAAACCTGATAGGGTTTTTCTGAAAGATAAAGGCTGTTCTTTGTGTTAGTGTGTCGTTATTGGCTTCGTTATCGAGGTGAGCGCTGTTTTTCTGCATTTTTTGTCTGTCTTTGTTTGTCAGTCGTGCACTCTTGTAGAACCTTAAAGCCGCCCACTGTTTTACTTCAGAGTTGATTTGACCACGGAGTTTTTGCTGGAGCTCCTTGATTTGACCACGATCCAGATATAACCGTTTCCGTCACCAAAAGGATGCGCTTTGACACAGATATATACCTGTCCTCATTCAAGTCTAGATGATGTCACCAGAAGGCTTAATTCATTAGCTAATGGTTTTTGTAAGCATAGCGACAAATTGGGATTTCCCCTTTTCCTTGGCAAAACATTTTAGAATGACGGTATGGTTTGTATCCATGTTAGAGACAGTCAAGATATGTGTATATATATATGGCGGCCAACAAGTAAAATACCTTAACTTGGGTTTTTCAGTTTGTGCTTCAAGACTCAATGTAAGGTTATAAGCCGGTACTTGGTTCACCTGACAAATTGACATAAGAAAAACCGACGCAATGTTAATTCCGGTACACCTATTAAGGCCGTGAAAGACGAGCTGTCATAGTTCAACCCTGTAGAATTTGGTGAAAAGCCAGAATTGAAAAAATAAAAAGACGGTGTTGTCTGGCCCGAGGCGCGCCTAGAATTTTTTTCGCTGCATACTTGCAATGGTAATTTGTACACCTAGTCAATATGAATTTGGTATCCTGACGAGTTTGAAAGCTACTGTGGCGTGAAAGCTTAAGTTTGAAAAGAAAACATCAGGTAGGGAAATAGTTTTTTATAACCTCATTTTCTAACAGTTAGGCCTATATCTGATGGGAATAGACTTCTACCATGACGGGGTACAACCTTTCCTAGAGTATGTTAAAGTTGTTATGTTATTTGTGCTGTTGTTCAGCTAAATATCTTTTTTGCTCTAGATTTAGAGTGATGTACCTGTATGTGAATTAAAGCTGGGGACAGAAAAGAAGGCTGATACATATACATATTCTATCAAGTATTAATTGAGCTACATTTTCACCACAAACTATTAACTGGATGGCCTCGACTCCTATCTGGCAAATTCCCTTGAAAGGAAAGGATTTAGCAATATACCAATAGAAAACGTCTTCCCTTACTTGGGTTATATTTTAGTAGTTCTAGCCTGATACTTGGACATATTAGTTTTCAGTTTAACTCCTTTCTCACTACTTTATGCTTGAGTATCTGTATGTTTAGTATATTATGGTAATCATAAACAATACAGTTGTATAAGCCCCGTCACGAAAACTTATAATGTTGGTCCTCCAGAGCAATTCTAATGAGGGGTCTACATGTACCAGTTTTATCATCATTTTCACAAGTCTACAAAGCTTTGACTTTTCCCAGACCCCCCCCCCCCCCCCCTTCAGAGCGTACAATGTGAAAAAGTAAAAACGATAGCCTTTCTCACCGATAGCCTTTCTCACTTTAATCATTTTTAAAAGCGTGCAGAGTTCATTAACCCCCAGCCCCACCGCCCACCCCCAAGCGTACGGTTAGTAGACCTGTAAAAATGATGATGAAAATGGATGACCCTAGATAAAAAAGGCCCATGAAGTAGTTTGAGCCTGATATAAATATATGTACCCAATATATGTTAAAGTGAGAAATTGTTCCTGGAACAAATGTTTATTGATATAACAAAAATATAATTGACCAGTTGGATATATGTTACCCTCCCCGCCTCCCCTTTTCTGTGTCGAGTATATTATAATAGAAGCTCAAAGTTAATCTTTTAGTGCAAAATCGGTTATTAATCTAATAACTCTCAGCCAGTTTGTATTAAAAGTGACATTTATCAAAGTAATTATCACCATTAGATAAACGTTATCTAAGCTCATGGCAATATAGATGGGAAGCACAGTTATAGCTAAGAGTGTTATCATAAATCACGGAAATACTGCTAGACGTAATCAAATTATTACAAGACTGACATGTCAACCTTTATCGAGCGACCGATTTTTTTAATGCTTTGATTGTATATATTGTCCACTATTACGCTTGTCCTTGCCCTGAGGTAAATAGGTTGAAAATCGATCAGGTTAACCACCCCGTGGTAGTGATCTCTCAGAATCCTGTGCCTTCTCACCTGGGCATAGACTGAACGGTGAATATCTGGACAAATTCTAGGGCGGGAAATCGTCTGCCTTCTGATGCCTTCGGTTCTCCCATCCTTGTGATCATCATATCCGCTATCATCATCATCATCAACATCATCATGATTACCGTCATCAGCATCAACCCTTCCTTATTAACCATGTCATGGGCTATCAGGTCAAACTCTTGCTTTGTCTACGATCCAACTTGCCAACTAGGATTTAAAAGAAGTTTAATTTAACGAGCACATTTGAGTATAATGTCGATACTAACGGGAACACAGACAAGACTGACAATAGCGAACTACAGTTAACATGACGGTATGGTATGAGGAGAGGGGTTGAATGCACTAATAAATCTCCTCTCAAGATTCATTTACTGCAGGTAAGCGGTTGAGTATTTTGCTCGCTATCAGCGCAAGAGTTTGCACAAGGAAAACTCTCCCAGATGTGAATCATTAGGTGCAGGTATGGTTTAACTCGTGCTTTTTCTTAATATACTCAATAAAGATACTTTCCACCAACTATGAGAATGAACTTACAAGCTGAGATGATCAGTGTAGCTACCTGCCAAGTCCACGCATTTGCTCATTGTAACTATCCAGTCCCTTGGCTTCGTAAGAGAATAATTATACATGATTGAATAACACCACCCCCTCCCATTTTTTGAGATCTTTATTGCTAGCATCTGCAAAACTATCTGTGTCGGCGCGGTGCAGGAAAAACTGTGATCGTTCGACCCGTGAAATCATTATGGGCCCTAGTGTAAATTAGGGAAAATAAATCGCTACAGATGTAGCTCTTCTGCCTTCCAGGACAAAGAAAAAACCCATTGTTCCACTCTTTGTTCAAGAGAATTCGCTTCTTTGAGTTCACTTGGGTCATGGGCATTCGGTACTTCGGTGGTCCTGGTGAACTACTTATCATGACTACCGACAAGTAGCCTACACGCCCATTCACTTGAATTTACAGAATCTCGAAATAAAACTCCACCGTATGAATATCACTAAGACATTCATCAAGGACAACTGAGACATAAACGGGTATATCACAGGATCTGATAGGATCGGTCACTTTTTCATTAATTTTATAGAAAACGAGCTGCGTCCCATTAAAAAGGATTATAAAGTTTAGTTAAGTTCTAGCGTTTATCGATTTTCCTAAAATTTTACAGAAACTCGGAAAGAATCTATCACCGTTAACCTAACACGGACTGATGCGTCATTATTTTTTGTCTTAGGTTCGACCAAAGTTTCCTTAGCTTTACTGGTATATATAGTAATTGAGTTGCGAGACATACCAGAATCTAACCGCAAACGCCTCCTACGCCACTAAAAGTGCAAAATAACTGCCAACCCGGGACGATGAAATTATCTTTTTGCTCACTGTTTACAAGCCATGAGGTTCGTGGCGTTCGGAGAAAGAGAACGTTTGAAGAAGTAGGCAATAACAGTTATGTCGTATTGTAATAATCGCAGGTATAGCGATACTCGCTTGTCGAGAGGAGACATAGTCACAGTTGATACTCATTTTTATGAGTTTGATAAGGTTTTAAAACTGTCAAAGCTTTCCGTTCAAAAACGTAAAAAATGTATGCATGTACTAGTGTTTTATATGTGACCCTTTGTACGTACATGTATATGTGTACATGTATGTTAAAAGTAACGAAGTAAAAGTTCTCATATCAAACTGACTTATTTACTTTTTTTCTCACCTTTTACTGTTTAACTATACTTAATCAGACATTGCATGTGAGTACATTCTGGTAGTTACTGTTTTAAAAAAAAAGGTTTGAATAACACGAATGAATGAAAAAAGGGTTAAAAAACGACAGCTGACACGATGTGAAAAACACTACACCGATGTAGAAAACTCCTAGCGAAATATCTTCTTTTTGTACCACTTGCAGCGTCTTATTTAACGGTAGTTTAGGGTAAATTCTGTTTACTGAATACACCTGATAGGCCCTAAGGAATTTAACAACAACAACGAGGTATTCCGCTATCTTTTTCGACCCAGGTCAGCGAACATGAACCTCTACCGTGTGTTTCGCTTCAGCTTTTTTTTTTTCCATTCAGCAATGGTCTTCTTTATCCAACCCTGAATTTCATGGTTACTGAGAGCTCACTTCTGTTATCCATTTTCTGACACTAGAGGGTTGGGGGAGAGGGTGAGGTAAGTAATCTCTGAAATTCCGGGTTCTTTTCCGCTGTAATCTTTAAAGCTGTTCACTTTCAATAACAGACATTCTCTCCCTATCTCTGTCTCATACAATGTAACATTTTGAAAAACCCGCCATAGAGATAACACTTATCTTATCCATCCGTTCCGATTCAATACCACATCTAATAAAAATACGTATTAAACAGAGTCCAAATGAATTTTTAAAAGAAGCATGTTTCATCGTAGATATGAGTCACTAGTTATACCAGTGGGGTCAATCCGTAATTCCGCTTCCCATTAACGTAATATACGCTTACCGAGCATGTGCACTTTATCTACACAATGTTACACAAGGTGTGTAATATTTTTAATTAAAGGTAAAGAAAAGATGAAGTTTATTTCAAATGTTGTGAGAGGAATTTGAAAGCGAAATATAGCGCAGAATGGACAATGAAGTGGGCAAGGCAAAAATGGGACCCTCATCATAGCAAGTTTTGCAGTCTACACGAATCAGCGGTTGTTCTCCCGAGTTCATTCTCTTAAAATCGTGTCTAACAATATCGCTAAATGCTTGGGCCAATTGGCGTAATGGACGGTGCTGCCTGAAAGGCCTCTGTAAGGTCAGTCTTAGCCCTCAAAGCTACACGCATGGGCTGGCGAATCCAGGGAAACGTTTATTCTGTAAACAATAAACGGAAACCGTACTTTCTGTGGTGTTTTTCTCATTGTTTTACCAGAATACTTTTTTTCTTTTCCAGCCGTTTCAGACTCTGTGGACATGTGGCGGTGGTGTATTTTGGCGCTGTGGAGTTTGGTTGTGAATTTCGGCATTCTACCAGGTTAGTTTAATGATTGTATAGACGTGAATGTGTTATAAAGCTGTAATCAATATATAAATTTTAATCGATTTTTCGAATATTATCTCAACGATTTCTTATCACCTACATGTATCTTACCTGTTGTACGAAGAAGCACTAAACATTTAACCCAGAAACGACTTGTTGCAATCCCTCCCCTCCCCTCCCCTCCCCTCCCTTCCCCCGCTCCCAGCGTGCGTTGCTAGGAAACAGATGCATAGGTTAAAGATTAAAGGATTTCAATCCGCAGGTAATTGAAAACGTTGCATTGAAAGCATCAAGATACAATCTCCCTACCCTTTTACAATACTGACTTTCAAACTGGATATTTGGTACTTCTGCTTACTATCAAATTTTGCAATTGGTATACAGGCATCCAGAATGATCTGTGTAAAAACAAATAAAGTCAAAAAAGGATATTGATAAATCTGCTTAAGCTGAATCCTGCTTGGATGGAAAATGGTTTGAATAATTGAAGTCAGAACGAAAACCCGGTGTGTTGTATTTTTTGATCAATACTAGACGTAGAATATGTGAAGATAAAAGAGAATATAAGAGAACGCAAGCATAAATGGCACCCAATTATGCGAAACTAACGAGATTCTGAGATCTGCAAGCGTTAAGCGTAAAGCATCTAACGGAAGATAGAGAGGCATTTGGGATGCTTTTTTACATGTACAAATTATTTGTTAAGATTGATGGGGAAAGTAAACGTCGAATTTGAAGCGAATACAATGGATATATTTTATTTTTTCATTCGATATATGTAGCTGTGCCAATTCAACCATCACGTTTGCTTTATTTCATGGACTTTTTACGAGAAAAAGACTCGTTTTGTGGAAACATCATCTCTGTAGTTTAATTAGAAATGCATTTCTCTATCATTATATTGATTTGGAGCGAAAAATTATATTCTAATAACGTTTATTAAAGTAACACATCTGTATGGCTGTGAAAATAAAACTGTTTTATTGCAATTTATCGTTGCATGAAATAATGTTAACCTTGTGTAACAATTGCTTTTTTAAAAATTTTGGCCTATGGCTTGTGGTAATGACAGCCCTGTTCTTGTCTGATTTCTATGATGGTACGATAGGGAATGTTTGTTAATTATCTCTCTCATGAATAAATATATGTATAGATAAACGAATAATAATATAAAAAGGCAAAGAAAGAAAAGCAAAAGGTAAGAAAGGTACTTAAATGTGCATGCTTATCACAATTGAGCCTCTCATTACGCTCAGTAGTAAAATACGATCGTCTTATATGCAATAAATAGCGCAAAAGTAATCCACTGAACAAATTCCAGGAAATCTGCAAATAAAACAAGCGATTTCAGGAAACTTTCATTCATTTTCCATTCGTGTCTATGGCATTTCATGGCTCAGCAACACTGCTTGTAGCATTGTACGAACTGGGAATTGCCAACCGAGTAAAACTGCAGGAGGCCCCAGATGAACGAGAAAATAAACGACTACTTCGGTTGAGAGAAAAGATGTACGTTTCAATTGATCCCCTGAGCTTTGAATAATGAATGCGTCTAACTTGGCTATCTATAGATCATCTACTTTGATTAAATGGCATTGGTCGATTAGAAGCGTGGGGGCAGATAGGAGCATTGGAGGATATTTCTTGGCTGTAGCAAGGTTGAGGCAGATATGGTTAATCAGGCTCTCTTCTCTCTCTTGATACGGCCTGCACGTTATTAGTAACATAGTAATCGCATTTTCATATTTTGTGTGGTGGAGA